TCTCCCATCCATTCAGCTCCTTAGAATCCACGTATAAGTGAGATCATATGATATTTGTCTTTCTCTGACTGACAGAAATAATCTTGATAACAGTTTTTAAATGAATAGTGGAATAAAGTTCACAGAAAAGTATCTGGTACCTTCATTTACCATTAAGATACAATTTTAAAATGTGTTTAACTATCCCTTTTCTCTTTCTCTTCCTTGGTATGCCCTGTTTTCCTTGATTTTGTACATTTTATCTTGTTTTTCTTTCCTCTGTAATCTGTCAATACAGGAATTCTCCCTTTGGACGTGATTGTGGGTGGTCCTGAAAGCTGGCCCCTGTCCCCTGACCAGTAATTCAGTTTTTAGTTTGATTTTATATTAAAAAAAATGAGTGGAAATCTGTATATACTCCTGTTTGAGGTCTTCAGTGGAAAAACTGAATTTAGCCTGGTTGCCAGCACAGCACTGGGGGGCGGGGTTCGGAGAGTGTGGGGGAGGGGGAGGGTCTATTGGAAAAAAAGAAAGTGTAGCCCCTTGGGACCTTCCAACGAGTGCGGCCACTATACAACTTGTCTTATTGCTTAGTTTCAGTTTCCATTGAAAAGTTCAAACAACAGTGGTTCCTATTTGATTTTTTTTCCCAATGGAAAATATTAGACACTGACTAAGTAGGCAAAAGAGAATGAAAAGCCCGAATAGAAAAGATGGTGAAGGAAGTAAGTCAGTAAGGGAACTTTAATAGAAAAAAGGGGAAAGAAAATGTCCAAATTGATAAGAAAACATAAAAATACCTTGGACTATAGGCAAAAGGACAGTGGTCATTTTGCCAAGCCCACGGCTTCTTCCCTCCCATGTTTCTGGCCCACACTGCTTCTCATCCTGACTATTGCAATTGTCCTCTTACCTCCACACCCCACTCTTACCATCCTTTCAACACATTGCTCACATACTTATAGTGTGTATACTTATAGTGTGTATAAATCTACACACTAATTTTTTAATAAAACACCAATTCCTTAGCTAAGTAAATCAGTGCTGACCACAATCTAGATCTGTCTGACCTTATTTCTCATTCCTGTTTTCATGCTCCCTTTACTCCATCCAGTCAAGGCTATTGACTTTTCCCCAAGAATATCTTCTTTCATATCCCAGATTGTCCCTTTGGCTCAGAAATGGACTGTCATCTTTGCTAGTTGAAATACTACCCAAACTCTGAGACCCAATTGCTTCATGAAGCTCTTCTAATCACAGCAGCCTAGAACAAGTCCTCCCTTCTCTAGACCCCTGTATCATTTTGTACCTCTCCTAATGCCTCTTGTTAGTTATTTATGCCTGCCTTATTTTCCCTATAAGATCTTAAGCTCCTTGAGCTCTTCCTTTTTACTTCCTCCATAGTGCCTAGCGTATTGCCTTCCTTATATTGGGTTGTCGGAAAAGTCATGACGCATTTTTGCAATGAAAAACAGAAAAAATACGTCATGACTTTTCCAACAATCCAATACTACCTGAGTAATAAAAATGTATTGAATGAATGATTGAAGGAAATCTCATTAAGATCAGGTAGTCTAACACAAATTTCAAATTTTTATGTGTGATTTTAAAGTTCCTTCGGCAGAGACATAAAAATATATGTATGAGTATTTGTTATTAAATAGAGACTTTTCATCTCCTGTAGTAGTGAAATTTAGTGAGTCAGTCCAACAAGAACAGAACTTCCCACCTTCACTTGATGTCATTGGGCATCTGAACTCTGTTGTCTAGGACCCCAATCAATTACACGACAAGAAGGAGGACTAAAGTAAGGCGGGACTCCCCCTGAATTCCTTTTTGTAGCTTTCTTCTCTAAGGAGTATAATTCCCTTCCTAATAAATTATATACATCTAATTGCCAATGATATTTAGATGCTTTTTAACAGTAGACCAAACATTACAAATATTCTACTGGTGATGCATGTGGGAGAAGTGTTATGTTTTTCTCCCACTTAACTTTTCTGTGTGAACTAAATCCAAATATATCTGAATTTTTGTAATTCAAAGAAAATATCTGCGCCAACAATTTGAAAACAAATAGCTGCCAAGCGAAACCTGACAGCATATTCCTTGGTGACATTCAGTCATTAAAACCTGTGTACACAGAGTGAGCAGCTACCTAAAGTTGAGCTCATATGCAAATGTGAACACTCCTCAATTAAATTTACATTGTGTACATTAAAGTTTCTTTAGAGGCTATGGAATTTGCAGGAAAAATATATCTGAACTTGACCTTAAGTACCTTGTCTTATTATTTTTTTGTCATTTCCAGCTACTAGTCTCTCCAAAGAAAACAACTTTCTTGTTTCTTTTAGTTCTGTGTGTGCCCTGAGCTTTATTCCCAATTGCTGCTACAAAAAAACTGAAGTGGTTCCAAACACCACTATTGTTTTTCTTTTCGTTTTTTTTTTTTTTCCGGTAACTAATATTTAAACATCAAAGACTCTTTGGTACTTTTATGTTGTAGAGTACATATAAGACCAAATTTTCCTTGAAGGGATTTGCTGTCCAGGGTGGTTTTTGTTTTTTTGTTTTTTAGCTGTTAGCCTTCTGTTTGTTTGTTTTTTAGAAGTCGTCTGAATGGCAGTAGCCTTTGATTTCACAGGATCACTGGTGGTTGTGTGGAGGAAGAACTGGAGTGGGGGCATATTAAAAGCAGAGAGATGAGTTAGGAGATTATTTTTAATATTTTATGAAGATATACATATAAAAGCCCTCCCCTTAATTTTCCACGTAAAATCATATTGTGATGACCGACGACCTTGGGAATTTTTTTAATTTAAGCACTTTATAAGGGCTCCTCCTAATGCTAAAACTAAAAAATAATCTTTTCATCAAAACACTTTTATTATTATGTCAATTCCCATGTAAATCCTTAATGTATTTATTTTAAGGGTTGATTATGATAACTCATATAGGATGTTTTCAAATTTTTATTCATTCTATTAATTGGGAAAATGTTTCATGCAATTAGCGATTAGTTAGTTCTTTTGAAAAATTATACATGATATGAAGGAAAATATTAAGTGTGTGTATCATAAATGTTTTTCCTAAAATGTCAGTTTTATTGCCTTATACTTAGTAATCATATAGAATATTGTTTATTTTCATTTAAACGTGCATCCGAAAGACGCAGCAATTATTATGTTATTTTGCAATACTTGTTCAGTTACACTGATTTTTCTTAGTTGCGGCTAGCTAGTGGGTAGGAGTGGAAGTAGAAAATATTTGATGACCATGAAAGAAATCTAAATACTATCAAAAGCGGCAATACTATATGAGTAAATATGAATGTGAATCAGGAGACTCTGTTGGCAAAAGTTACAATAAACACATACTAGAAAAAAATAAAACAAAGACATTGTCTCTTATACATTCAAAATGTTGAAGGTATTTCTAATTTGATATATGTGGTCTCAAGGAGAGTACATTAAATGTACTGCATCCTCAAATTGCTGTTTTGTTCTTTATCAAAAGAAAAAATAAGGACTGGCAATTGAGGGTCAGAAATAATGCCACAAACCAAATTTAGCTTTAATTACTGTCTAGCCATAAGAAGGAATAAACTATCAGCCAAGACCAAGTTTCTTTGATCTCACATTTCAACCTTCTTGTCCTCCAGATGAATGAAATGATCTTTTCTCAAATGTTCAACAGGCCTATTACCATTTGATAGGACAATTACTTTTAAGAAGGTTTAAAATGTGATCTGGAAAACCACATTGACTCTATGTGGCATATTTGCTATTCTTAGCTTGGTTGAATAAGCTGGAAGTGGATGAATAATGCAGGTTAGAAAGAAAACAGATGCTAAATATTACAAATAGGGAGGTTTTCCAGCAAGGAGACTTTCATTTTAGGACTAGATTTTTGTTGGCACTTTTGGCATTATGACGATTATTGTTTTTCCCTCCAGCTGTTGCACATCTGTATTGAAGGTTGGGGCAATTGGCGTTGGTCAGAGCCCATCAGTGTGGACCATGCCGGGACTTTTATTAGAACTATTCAGTACAAGGGTCGAACTGCTTCACTCATCATCAAGGTTCAGCAACTCAGTGGAGTGCAAAAACAGGTAAGTTCCTTTGTGTTTATGGCCCAGACGGCTCTTAATTATTTGATGTAATCAATGGAAGGGAAACTTAAAGAAATGAAAATGATTCATAATAAAAAAGAATCACAGTGGCGTGCCTAGTTAGGCCTACTACGGCCATGCACCTGAGCACTTAATAAGTGCTTGTTGATGAGCCTAATGATGATGATAATGGCTTCAGACCCCTTGTCCTGTGTCTTTTACAAGAGCTGCTAACGAGCAGTAAAATTTACTGATTTTTAGTTTCACCTCTTCTTCCTGTCACCACCTACCTTCTGGTGGAGGTGCTAATGAGCTGTGAAATGGCCAAAAGGCCTTTATTGAGAAGGAAAAGAAGGAAAAAGTGGTGGAGACTGGATAACCCAACAATGGATAACCAGGAGTTGGTTCTCATTTGTGTAAGAATAATCTGGAAGAAAGTGTTGTGATGCTCGCCCATGACTGAGTGGGCCTGGGTCCCCAGCAAGCTTTCTTTCCCTAGGAGTTAATATTAACTGCAGTAAAAATTCACTACAGTCTAACTCTTGGCATATAAAACCTCAGCTCTCAGCACATATTTTTACGTATTTTATAAAACTTCCTTTTGGCTGTTTTTGAAGTTCTAAGACTGCAAAGGGAAAAAAAGTATCTGACACTTTTTTTGTGTTCTTAAGATGTGAAAATGTGGTTTTTAAAAGATGTTTTTCAAGCGTGGAGCATATGACAAGAGTAGAAAGAAAAAAAGGAAGTATTAAAATCTGAAAACTGGTTTCACTGCACACATGATAACTAGATGTGTCATAAGAGTTTTAACATACATCTGCATCTGGATTGTAACAGCCTATCCAGAACTTATGTGAACTGAGGACATGATAGAAACAGCACTCGGTGCCTGGAAAAGGAAAAGGGGGCTTTCCATGGCAAGCAGCAGGGGCTACTCCATTACTGTATGCCGGGGTAAGCGGGAAGCAGCTGGTGTGTAGGACCCATAGCATATACATTCTTGATCCGCATTAATGACGGAGCTGGACCTCACGTTCTCATCATTGTGGGCAGCACAGGTGAAACAAGAACTATAACAGAGTAGTCTCAGAAAAGAAGCATGGAGGAGTCTTCCCAGTCACTTGACCATTTTTTAAGTATTTATTGATTGCCTACGGTTGGACTGGGTAAAATGAAAGGCATTAAGTATGTGACACACAAATCTTGGCTCTTAAATTGCAAATTTATATAAACCCAACAATGTATACAACTAACAGTAAGTGTGAAGGTAATTTAGAGGTTTCGTTAAGAAGATCTGACTTGAGCTGGGCTTTGGAAAGCATGTAGAACTTTGAATAAGCGAGGGCATTCAAGCAGGCAGTATAGCATAAATAAAGAAATAAATACAGATAGATGGGTCTCAAAGATTCATAAGGGGGCCCGCCTGACTAGTGTGAGCTTTGAGCTAGGAAGTCAGAAGAACAAGAAGTGTCACTGCCTGCCAGCTGTGCTCAGAACGCTCTTCCATGGACATGCTCTCAACAAATATCTGCCTAATTAAAACACACTGGTTTCTGATTCTGTCACTAATGGTCTTTCAAGAAGGCCTGTCTACCCTTTCATTCACCAGCGTGCCTGAGAAATGACAATTCAGCGTCTGTTTGAATACTCTAGATGACAAGAGACTCATCCCCTCACACAGCAGCTCTTTCCATTGTTGGTTACTTCCAGCTACTAATGAAATTGTTTTCTAATTTTGAGCCACAATTGGTCACCATTCAGCCGTTTTGCCATTCCTCAGAACTTGTGAGGTGTACACACAACCATCACACAGCAGCTGTTGTGAGGACTCCACAGGTTACCTCCCCTATGTATTATAGCCCTTCCAAAACGCGAGGGAAGCTAGAAAATTTTCCCTTAGCTTCCTTCTGGCTAGGCTAGTGGTTCTCAAACTGAAGAGTATTGTAGTTTATAGGGAATATAGTCAAAAGTATTGTAAAAACATATGTATATGTCATATGGGTAGTAGACTTATTGGGGGGATCACTTCATTAATTATATAAATGTCTAACCAATACGCTGTACACCTGAAACTAATATAAAATAATACTGAATGTCAGCTATAATTAAAAAAATAGTCATGGGGATATAAAGTACAGCATAGGGAATATACTCAATAATACTATAATAATTATGTACAGTGTCAGATGGATAATAGACTTACTGGGTTTATCACTTTGTCAGGTAAATAAATGTCTAATAGCTATGTTGTTTTGTACACCTGACACTAATTTTTTAAAAAAGTATATTAGAGAATCCTCCAGATGGCTTGTCAAAACATAGATTTCTGAGTTTCAGCACCCAGAGCACCAGATTAAATAGGTTTTGAGTGTGACGCGATAATTTTTATTTCTAACGAGCTCTCAGTTGATTCTGATGCTACTGGTCCAGGGGCCACACTTTGAGAACCATAACTCTGGTCTAAACTTTCCCAGCACATTCAACTCTTTTGCATGTGGTTGCTAGAAAATTTACCAATTAGTGGAATGGCAAGATCCTACCATGAAGATTTCGTTTTCATGGTATGTCCTAATAGTTTTAAGGTCGTAGGCAACTGGCTCTATGCCCTTGCTAGCAGTGTGATATTCAGCACGTTATTTAACTTTTGCCAATCACTTTCCTCATCTGTAAAGTGGGGGTAATAATAGTGCCTTCCTCACGAAGTTAGTGTGAGGATTAAATGAGTTTGTGTATGTAAAGTGCTTTTAATGTGCCTGGTGCACTGTCATAACCCCGATAAACTTTAGTTACAGTACAATACTGAAATATTCCTAAGCATAAGTAACACCAGTTGGATTTGTTTTGTGTTACTATAATAGTACCTCATTTTTGCATAGATATTACATATTTCAAGAACTGATATTAAATTTCTGGGATAAATTAATATATATAATGTCCCTAAACAGGTATTTCAGATTGCAATAGTACACCATATGTCAAAAAGGTTGGTCATGAAAAATACATTTTTGAAAAATTCTCACAAAATGTTACCTATTTTTTTTTCTTTCTGTTTGTGAAAGACTTCCCAACACTAGTATTTATTACTTATATGATCTTAGGTAAATTTTGTAACCTTTCCATGCTTTATATTCCTTTTGTAAAAGAAAGCACCCAATGAATATTAGTTCATTGTTGTTATTTTTATGTGAACTATTATAAAATATTTCTGAAAACACAGAAAAGTCTAATGAAGAAAATTAAAATTACACATAATTCTACCAATATTATTACTTTGACGTATTTTTCTCTACTCTTTTGTTCTATGCAAATATTTTTAATCAACTTGAGATCTGATTGTAATACCAGTTTTTCAGATCATTCTCACTTTACATGTTACAATGCTTGTCTTCTCATGTTATGTAAAGTTCCTGAAATTTTTCTTTTATGGTTGCATAATAATTTACCATATGGTATATTGAAACATTTTTAGACATTCTCTTGCTGTTGGATTTCTAGATAATTTCCCATTTGTCACCATAATAAAGCCTTAAATAATATCTTTATGTATAAGTTCTTTATGTATATCTTTATGTATATAATATCTTTATGTATAAGATGTCCATATTTCTGAGTCTGTCCTTAATATAATTTGCTGTATAATTTAATTACCTGAGCAAAGGGTATGAATACTTTTGAGGTGCTTCGTGCATATTCCCAGAGTAAAACGATGTATTTTATTCCTTAACCAAAATTCATTGTTTTGTCTCACTAGATTTTTGTTAGGGCTACACTAATCTTTAAAATAATTAAATACATATTTGTCCCAAAACTTCTGCTGACTTTCTGAGGTCTTCAAACCATTAGCTTTTTTAAAAAATCTTAATGTAAATATGGGTTCAAATCAGTACTAACAAAAACATTTCCATTCATAGCAAGTTGAAGGAATTCTTTTAATCATCCTCCCTGTTAATGTCAAATATACAGATTTTAAGACGTCTGGTGCCAAATCACAATTCAGGATTTTTCCAAATGTTATTTGTACTGTTGAATATTAATAATTCTTCCTGTGGGAACTGCCTCTCACACTTTTCTCTGTTTCTACCCTATTTATAATAGGTAAAGGGGTTGGGTAGAATCTAGCCAAATAGAAAAGGACTATTTGGACAGCAATAATGGAAGCATAAACAGCCCTCATGTTGCATTTACCTTTTTAAAGGAAGCGTCATCGTCTCTGAAAGGAACTGGGAAAACCCATTTTACATTCCCATTGTCATGAAAGGCATATGCACAAATTTATATTTTGAGTGTTAGCATTTCTTATAGTCAGATGATATTGAGCTCTATGTTAGGGCCACTTAAAAAACTTAGCTGCTGAGTGGTGAAAAGCGGAACCCAGAAACAGCAATTTATATAACCTAGAATGAAGCAAATGGCAAATAATTGATACTGAACCTGGGTATTATTGAAAATCTCAGCAGACTACTATGCCAACTTCAGACCAACTGCTGCGTGTATCAAAGTTGTGAAAAACCTTTCTAGTCAGTGTTTTTTAGCTTCTCATCTCTCTTTCTCTTTTCCCCCTCCTTGTCTTCCTTTCTCCCCTGTCTTCCTCTCTACTTGCGCGCGCACACACACACACACACACACACACACACACACACACACACACACACTTCACACACTTCATTATTGTATTTAATTTTTTATTGTCAGGGTAGATTAGCCTACATTCAGTTAGCTCTGGTTAAAGTACATCAGAGACACAGGATTTCCTCAATTAGCCNCACACACACACACACACACACACACACACACACACACACATTTACAATGTCTTTTTCAATTGTATTTAATTTTTTATTGTCAGGGTAGATTAGCCTACATTCAGTTAGCTCTGGTTAAAGTACATCAGAGACACAGGATTTCCTCAATTAGCCAGGTTAGAAGGGAAGATAAGAACCAAGCTTCCAGAAGAGATTTGTGGGTGCCTGCTCCCCTCATATCTTGGCTTCTTTCCTTCTACCCCACCTGGGCCTGGGAATTTGCAATAAACCACCGCTGCCTAATTACCAAGCCCCATTTAGGGGAGTGAGTGTGTGCAGCTCCCTGATGTACCTTAACCACATTAATATGCCCCTGGACAATGGAAAATTGGCTAAAGCTCAAGTGAACAAAGGTTTTTGATTATCTGTACCCTGCCTTTCCTGTACCCTTCTCATTTCCCCAACTGAATGAAAATTGACCACAGAAAATTACTCAGGAACTTTACAGTATACAGCTAGTTGTGTACACATATTTGCTTCCATGTTTCCCATCCCTTCATTGAAGAAAGCTTTACTGTTCTAAAACCTTAAATGTATGTATGTGTATATATATTTGTATCTTTATACATACACTTTTAATCATGGCTAAGGTATCATTTTCCAGTGCATCTGGTGCTCTGGAGTTATTCCTTAATATCACTATTCTTCTTGGCACTGATCTAATAAGAGTTCTGGAACCTGCTAAGTAAAATCATATGTGGAAATCTTCAGTACACATCTTTGTGGCTTTGGGGAAGGAGGGGAATTAGTGTGAAACCTGGAAATGTGTATTACAGAGAAACCCTACATTAAAAAAATTAAGTAGCTGTCTTCAACTGATAAATTAATCTTGAAATTCTAACCATAATTTTCAAAATAAAGGCATTGTAAGTGTTGCCACCTTGAAGAAAAGCAGACATGGCTCTCACTGAACCCTGCGTGGGAGCAGCCATGAAGAACATCACTCCCAGAAATAGCCATTTTGGATTTTCCTTCATCTAAGTAGCTTTCCCTCCCTGGCCACTTTTGAAGGTTTTCTTTTTATCAAATGTGAAAGCCTATTTAACAGGCTTTTTAGTTGAAAATGAAACTATAAAAACCTACCAAGAGGATTTCTGTCTTTAAACAAAGTGAGTCCCAGATGGTTGCAGAGATTCTGTGGTTTCTGTGAGAGACAGCAAAATTATCTCCTAGATCTCATGGGGCCCAAAGGTTCTGAATCAAGAGCAGTGTGCACACATTGCCAGGCCTGGACACATCCAGAAGAACAGAGTTAAATACCGCCTCAGCTTTCAAATGCTGATTTAAAGTTAGGCGATGCTGTGGCATCCTAAGAGTTATCGTTAAGTGTCTGGTAACTCCTAGTATATGTGTATATATATATATATATATATGCTAAAGAAAAGCTTGCCTGCTAATTTAGGACTCATGGTTCAATTGAGTTTTATGTTTTTTATTGTGAAAACATTGTTTTAAAAAACTGTAATGACCAGAGTATCCAGGGGAAATGTAACAGTTAAGCATAGCTTGGTTTTACATATGTATTCCTTCTAAATAAAATTCAAAGGAATAGATAATTGGAAAATAAATGTTGAAGAAATTGCTAAACCTCACTATTCAAATAATGTAAGTTGAAACAACAGTGACTTAATTTTTGGTCTATCAATCTAGCAGGTTTGTTTTGAGTAAATAGTTAATTCATAAATAGTTATTCATGCTTGTATAAATAATAGTTCTTTTAAAGTGATGGCTGCAAAGTATTCTTAATGACAAGAGAATTTATCAGTTAGGATGCTTTGAGCTTAAAGTTACAAAATATTAATAGGCTTTGTAATCTTCATAGCAAGTTAATGAGACAGATACTATTATTGTTCCTATTTTACACTTATTATCTCACATAACAAGAAGGAAGAAAGCAGGTTTGGTGTTGGTTAATTAAGCAACTCAACCCTGCATCTGCTTCTCTGCCATCCTCTGAGGATGCCTTCCTGGTTTCAAGATGTCTACAAAAGGATATATATACACAGGGTGTGTATACACATTTCCAGAAAGGAAAACACTATTAAAATTGTAATACTCAATATATAGTGATAACAAAAGATGAATACAAGTCACATTTTCAATTACAAGAGGTGCTCCAAGTGGTTACCATCAGCATCCAGACACTTCTGATTACGGCAAACTACTGCTTGAGCAACGTTGACCAGTGTCCGCTTGTATGCATTTTTTTGGCACTCTCGGTATATATCCTTTTATAACATCTTCTATGATGGAAAAGAAGAAGGGTTTTCTCTTCTCAAACTGTTTCCCTTATTATCGAGGAGTAAAGTCTTTCCCAGAGACTTTTAGCAGTCTTTCCCTTCCATGTTCACCCCTAAACCCAAAAGGAATTATTACCAGGACTATTTTATACCCTTATGATATACCCTTATTATTTTATACTCCAGGGGCCATGGGCGGTGTCCACCTTACTACCTGAGTACTTTGCTATTTTTTGAGACCTAAACCAAATCAGGGATTTTAGTAATAAGGGAGAAGGAGGGACCAGCTATTTGGAACTACCAGGTTGATTATCAACACAGGCTCTGGGCCAGTCTGGGTAACATTGGCAAGTTAAGTTATTCAACATTTCTGTGCCTACATTTTCTCCTTGTTAAGACGAGAAGTCATACTATCACCTATTATATAAGGTTGCTGTGAAATTAAAAGAGTTAATTTATGAAAATCCTTTGTATTAGTCAGGGTTCTTCATTGAAACAGAACCAATAGAGTATGTGTTTGTGTGTGTGTACACACACATATATTTATACACATATATATGTATGTATGCATGTAGAGAAGGAGAGGGACAGATATATAATAAGTTGGCTCACATAATTATGGAGGTTGAGAAGTCCCAAGACCTGCAGTCTGCAAATTATTATAGAACCCCAGGGGACCCAGCATGTAAGTTCTGATGTTTCAGTCAGTGTCCAAAAGCCAGGGGAGGAACCAGCTCAAGCAATCAGGCAGGAGAAGTTTCCCTCTTCACTCAGGCTCTTCACTCTCTTCTGACCTTCAGTGGGCAGGATGAAGCCCACCCGTGTTAGGAAGGGCAATCTGCTTTACTCAGTCTAGCAATTCAAATGTTAATCTCATCCAGAAACACCCTCACAGACACACCCAGAATGTCTGACCAAATATCTGTACACTCCATGGCCCATTCAAGTTGACACATAAAATTAACCATCACATGCATAGACCTATAAGTTTACTATATGTATAGCAGTTATTACTATTTTATAATCTGAAAAAAAAGTTAAAAATAAGGAAATCCAGATGTGAAAGTCCGATTTTCCCCAACCATGGTGAATATTCATATTACAGAAGGATTTGCTTTCCAAAAGTATTCATAAGAATGAATTTTACATTACCTTTTCAATTTCAACCAATTTAAGAGATAGTTCTTAATGCCTACTATGAACTATTCTCTTACCTGGATGAGAACTTGGATAATCCATGAGTTTAACGGACAATCCTGTGTGTTTTTTAAAGGAAAAACCTGTATAAAATAAAAATAAAAAAATAGGCTTCTGAGTTAAAAGTTGTTTGTATTATCAGTTTATACAAAGATCTCTTACTCATAAGAATACATTAAATCCTTGGATGTCAGCTTCAGGGAATAGATTGATTGCAATTGTCCTCTCAGCTATGAAAGCTGACGTCTTGTTTTTGACCCCATCCTTTTTGACCGCTACATAATGTGATGCCGTCGACCACCACCTCTTGGTCAGTCTCTTGTCCTGTGGCTTCGGCAGCACTAGTTTCTCCTCATGCACCACCACATCCTTCACTTCTTCAGCCCCTTCTCTGGCTTCTCATCCTGAGAAGCAGTCCCTGAAGTGAAGGTCAGTTGCTGGGTTTGAGCCTCTACCCTCTTTTCCAGGTACACTATCTTCTGTCTGCATACATTTGCAAGGCTTTTATTTCACAAGTCTTTTATCTTCTTCCCCACCTTGACTCTCCAGCACATGACCGGTATTTCTAGCTGGGCATGGACCCCGCCTATGTGTCTTTCCTTTGAATGCTGAAAACTCAACATGACCAAAGCAAAATCCCCTTTCTCCTTCTAAGCCTCTTTTTCTTCTTATACTCTCTAAATAAGCTAATGACTTCATTTTCTTTCCATTAAAATCAACACAGATTACTCAGTGATTATATATTTCCAACTCATGAAGTCTGAATTGATAAAGCCTTATTTATTTATTCTCTTAGATTATCATCTGTGGAAGACAGATCATCTGTAGTTACTTATCTCACAGCATAGAACTAAAAGTCGTTCAGCATTATATTGGTCAAGATGGACAAGCTGTGGTTCGAGAACATTTTGACTGCCTCACAGCCAAACAGAAATTGCCTTCACACATACTAGAAAACAGTGAGCTGACAGAGTTGTGTGTGAAGGCCAAAGGAGATGAAGACTGGTCAAGAGACGTGTGCCTGGAATCCAGGGCCCCTGAGTACAGCATTGTCATCCAGGTATGAGAAGTAGTATGATCTAGACTAGAGCAGCTTTAAAATTAAAAATTTCTCATTATGCTCTTTATTTAATACAGCACTTTTTATTAAAAGGTAATATTTATAAAAGAGGGGAGATCTGAAATAATATAGAGTTTTTGAATATCACTGTTCAAACTGTTCCCTTCCCCATCCCACAACACCTCTATATCCATTCCAGTAGTTCTTACAGCCACGATGCTACCCTTCCAAGGTGGAGGTGAGTTATATCTTGACAAAGGTTCTGATGCACCAGGGCTTTGGGTGGGGGTGGGGGTGGAGGTAAAAGGTGTCCGACCACTTAAGAATCTTTGTGATGATCTCTTACGTTTTATCTTTTCTTCAGCCTCTACCATCATCACTTTCATTCCCATGAAGGACACATGCTGTCTTTGATTCTCCCACTCAGTCGTATATCAGCCTCTCCTCATACAAGTCCCTTCATCTTTATGGAAAGAACTGGCCCCATTAACACACTTCACATTCACTTTGTGCCATAATGAACTCTGTTTTTGCTTAGTTGTTCTTTCTTATGGCTTTTTTTCTATAACTTGAAACTTTTTAATCCTCCAAACCAATGTTCTATCCAGGCCTTATTTTGATTAATTAGTAAACTAGGAATTTAATAGGACCCTTTTCTATCTCATGTGCAGGTGCCATCTTCAAACAGTTCCATTATTTATGTCTGGTGCACAGTTTTGACTTTAGAACCCAACTCTCAAGTGCAACAACGAATGGTGAGTGCCTTCCAATCCTAAAATATGGTATATGACTCTGACCTTTCCCGTTCTGAAATAAATTAAGGTCAGAGTGACCCAGGGAAAAGATTTATTACAAGTTTGTTTCAGCATCAAACAGCTGGAATACTGCAACAAAGCAAATATGAAAGTTCTTCTGTCCTTTTATTTTTATAGATTGTGTTCAGCCCTCTTTTTATCATGAGGAGTCATCTTCCAGACCCCATTATCATACATTTGGAGAAAAGGAGCCTGGGATTGAGCGAAACACAAATTATTCCAGGAAAAGGACAGGAAAAACCGCTGCAAAACATTGAACCTGACCTCGTACATCACCTAACATTTCAAGCAAGGTACTGAAAAAATTCTTATATTTTCCTCAGAGAAGTTCAGTAGAAAAGTAACTATGTACTCTTGAGGGGGAGAGAGAGGGTAGAGTTTTTTTGTATGATTTCTTATGAGAATGTTATTTTAGAATTACCCTGCCTAGCGTTCTCTTATTCTCTTCTATAGTTTTAAATAAAATTAAGCCTCTTTCATTAAGCTTAGAAATAAACAAGAGGGTTCATCAGAAAATGTAATTGACGCATAATTTCTCCCATGGAAGACGAGATGAATAGAGATCTCACCCAAGCATGTTTGGGGAGGGGACGGGGGCATAAGAGGCGACGCCAGGGCCCAGATCATCCATACGCTGTGTCAGCAATCCCTACATCACCAAAAATTGACTCAATCTTGCACAAAAAAAATTGGACTATAATACATTTGTAGTTATATTCTTTTCAATAAATTGTAGACCACTTTAGAAACCTGATATTTATCTTTGTTTTTTTCTTTTTTCTTTCCATTTCCTAGAGAAGAAGAAGACCCTTCACATTGTGCCGTTCCCATCTCAACATCTCTCATTAAGCAAATAGCCACTAAGATACACCCTGGAGGCACAGTTAATCAGATTCTTGATGAATTCTACGGGCCAGAAAAGTCCCTTCAACCCATATGGCCCTATAATAAGAAAGATTGTGACAGGTAATGCTCTCCAGCAATCTTCTTCTACAAACATTTCTCAATATTAAGTAATAAATGACCATTCACAAAAATGTTAGATACCGAAAAAGGTGTTGTGGAAAAAAGATATGTGCATAGATCTGTCGGATTCTGACCTTTTATTGTGAAGTAAATGTATTCTGTAGATTACTCATAATCTAGAACGTAATTGCATGAGAAGTTTCTCCTGGATGCAAATTCAGCATTGTATGGCTCTGGTATAAAGAGGTGTCATACAGGAGCACTGTGTGTCTTAAACATATTTCATGAATACTGAAGTCATTATATTTCTCTCTTGGATGTGGTATTGGAAACAGGAATGAACAGCTGAGTCAGTGGGATAGCCCAATGCAAGTGAAGCTGTCGGTCTGGAAGCCACATGTTAGAACCTTGTTGATAGAACTTCTGCCCTGGGCCCTGCTGATCAATCAATCCAAGTGGGACCTCTGGCTGTTTGAAGGAGAGAAGATTGTTCTACAGGTTCCTGCTGGCAAAATTATTATCCCTCCTAATTTTCAGGTATTATAACTTTTTTTTAACTAATACGAATTCTTCTCTTTCAACAACTAGCTTTTATTCTGAGGTTGTATGTATGTTCATAGCAGAATAAATCAGTTGTGAGAAACTGCCCTTTTAGATGCGTATGTAACGGGTATGGAATGTTCTTTGATATTCAAAGACATTTCAGATGTCTTTTCTTGCCCATCAGCAGTATTCATGCTTGAATTAGCATTAAATGTGATAACTTGTGCTAGGTACATTCTCATTTCCATTGTGTACGGGATATTTGACAAGCATTAGAATTGGCCTCCTCTGGAAATATTAAGAACATAGAGCTATAGTCTGTGCTAACCTACCCCCTAGGTATCTTTGCGGTTCTTACAGATACCTGCAAGGTGGGTAAGAGTTGAGGATCATTTCTGTCAAGACCCCTTTTCCTTTATACATGGACGTGACTATCCATAATCATGATGCCCATCCAGTGGTTGACAATAATAACATGGAATCATTACTAACACAGGGGAGAAAACCTAATCGCAAAACAAAATTTCACAGGAAGATTTTTGTATTCCATTACAAGAGAATTTTCTTGATAAGGCTAGCTCATTTTTAAAAGGCACATAAATCTGTAACAAAATAAAGTATAAGGAACTCCTAAATAAAATGTTTTCTTAATAGAGAACAATTTGCGAATTCCTTTTTTCTTTCTTTATTTTTAGCTCCAGTTAATAAATATCTTTATTCAATGGCATTTTTCCTTTTCTTTTTTAATAATCAGATGAAGTAACTGTACAGAATTGGAATGTGTCGACCTACATGGACCTAATGTTACGCATTATTCTTTTGTCAAATAAAATGAAACCTTCAGTTTTTAAGCTTTTGGTATTTATATAGTAGTTACAGTTTGGGTTTGGGTTTGGGTTTCTTTTTCCCTCTTTAATAAATATGAATCCCATCATGAATCAAAGAAACCATTGGGATATAAAATAAAATGTGCATTGCCATTAGAAAAGAAAGAAAAAACCATAATGGGATATGGTTGCCTAAATGACCTATTATAGAATATAAAAAAAAAATTTCCTGTGAATTGAGGTAAAAATGTCAAAGATAAGAAAAACACTTTATAATAGAGGCATTATTTTTCCAGGAAGCTTTTCAAATCGGAATATACTGGGCAAATACAAACACTGTGCACAAATCAGTAGCAATTAAACTGGTCCATAACCTGACATCTCCAAAGTGGAAGGATGGAGACAATGGTGAAGTTGTATCATTGGATGAAGAAGGGTTTGTAGATGCTGAAATAAGACTTGGTGCTTTCCCAGGACATCAGAAGGTAGGATCAAAGTCTGTGTGGCTCAGAAAAACAGCATGCTACCCCCTCAACCTGTCTAACGCAAAGCTACCCTTTTCTCTTTTAATCCCTTTTTGTTATTACTTGTTCTACACGATTTATAACAGTGCAACACATGATTTCTTAGACCTCTCTGTTTTACAGGGGTTTTTTCCTTTACCAGTGATAAAAGCTGTGTCACATAATTTATCCAATAACTGTTCTAGTTCAGAACACTCAGCAGTCACTTGATTTATCATATGGGTTTGGGGGCGTGGGGGATGAACTTATTCCAAAATATCTACAAACTGTTCTTGGCCTCCTTTTTTTAGAGCAAGAAGTAGAGTTACTAACATTCTGAGCACTGGATGAAAGGACAAAGGCTCCTGCAACAAAGGGTATATTCCTGGAAAGGGCACCCTGAGCAAAATGTGGGCCCGTCTGATTTTCCCATAGAACCAGTGTTCTACGAGGAAGTTGTATTCTTGAACAGGGACTGGTACCCTATTTTTAAAGATATGAATACAAAACACATACTTAATCGGTTATTAATGAAATACAAATGTTGTATACTTTTCAGCACAAATCTTTTTTATGAAAACCAGTCTGTGAAAACCAATTAAGTTGAATAATACAGTAACACATTACATTAAACTGTATGTATGAAAGTACACTATCATATTGTACCATTTAGAGGCCTCATGCTGTACTTAATAATATCTTCATTATTTTAGCTGTCCCAAATCAGAAAAAGAAGGGATACTTCATCAGAGTAGTATAATTCAGAATGACCTTTCTCTGGGAAAAAGTTAGATTTTGACAGGCATCTTTGAAGAGCCTCTTCAGAAAAGTTAGGGTCACTTGGTGACTTTTTAAAAATAAATTTCCCTGATACAAAGAAGTTGGTCTTTCTTCAATATTCAAGGCTGGTATCCATTTCCTCAAAGTTGTCTGGGCAGCACATGTTTATGCTGTGCCGGCCAAAATACTGTAACATGGGTGTAAATGGCAAAGAGCTGTAAGCATGAATCACCCAGAGTTGAATAGTTGTAAATTGAGAACTACCATCAAAACCTGGAAAAAAAATGTTATGATGTACCGTCAAACACCCAGTGCCCCCAGTACCTCACAGAGTAGTCACAGCAAGTGATGAATAAATGTCTGTGAATGAATGAATGAATGAACTGTTGGAAAATAATACTATATTTTTTTTTATCTCACATTCTTTAGCAGTGATTCTCAAACTTTTTATTCTCAGGACCCCTTTACACTCTTAAAACTTACTGAGGACCTCCAAAAACCTTTTGTTTAAATGGGTTATATCTACTGATATTTATCAATTAGAAGTTTAAATGAAAAAATTTTAAACACAAGAATATACATACATTCCATTAGTCATGAGAGCAATGACGTAATATGTCGTATAACCTCTGGAAAACGCCACTGTACACTCATCAGAGAATTTGAGTGAAAAAGACAAATAGCATCTTAATATTATTATAAAAATAGTTTTGACCATTGGACTCCCTGAAAGGATCTCAAAGACACCCCCAAGGTTCCCCAGACCACACTTTGAGAACTGCTGTCCAGATATTACCACTTGCTAGATGGGTATCTTGAGGCAAGTGGTATCTTCTCTGTGCATCAGTTCCTCATATAACATGGTAAGATAATGAGGTGATACATGCAGTGACGAAGAGCAGCACCACGGAACCAGACTGTATGGTTTCCCACCCCAACTAGACCCTCTCTGTATTTGTGATCTTGGACAAGCTACTTAACTGCTTTGTGCCTCATTTTCTTCTTTTACAAAATGGGGATAATGGTGGCTACACCGTGTGGGTGTTGAGAGGGTTCTGTGAGTTAATATACATGAAGTACTTAAAGCAAGTGCACCACAAGAAGGAAATATATGAGAGTCAGTCATTATGTTTTCTTCATCATCATTATTAAAGTTCTCAGAACTCCCCTTGGTCCACAATAGGCATTCTGTGAAATGGCTGCTATGAAGTGCATGAGGAAGAGGAGGAGGAGTTTTTAATTGAATTCTTTATGTTGAAAAAGACGAATGGCATCTGTTTACATATAAGTGCTTTATAAACAAATATTTTGTGAGGGAATTGGTTAAATGACTTGAAAGCAAGTCTCTCTATCTGTCACTATACAGTAGTAGCAAAAGTAACTGGTTTGCTAAAGTAACCTGTGGTAGAGTAAGTAGCCCCTTTCAGGGGCCAGGACATTTTTTAAACTGGAAGGGGACTCTATTAAATACTCTGAAACAAAAGGTAAAATTGGTACTGTTCTAGGCAAACCAATAGATAAAATAACCTTTTAAAAATAATCAAAAGAGATTTTTATATGACTTACAAGATTTTAAAAATTATTCTTTCCTCAATTGTTTTGCAGTTATGTCAGTTCTGCATCTCCTCCATGGTACAACAGGGTATACAGATTATTCAGATTGAAGACAAGACTACAATAATCAATAATACACCATATCGAATATTTTATAAACCACAGTTACGTGTCTTCCAACCCCATTCTGGAAAGGAGGTAAGCAATTCATAACATGATGGGTTTGTCTTAAGTTTTGATAATTTACAATAAATAGGATCGCCTTTTTTTTAACCTAGAACAAATAACAAGCTAGCACTGAATACAGGTGAAGAGAACCCGTTTATTATTGCTTTAATTAAAACCATGAGAGTCACAGTCGGCGCTTCCAAGGTAATTAATGAGCAGAAACACTACAAAGCGGCAGATCCGGACACACTGCCACATTAGTGCTGCCTGCGTCCCATCTGCTCGGAGGCTGCATCACACTCTTCTAGCACATGCACTGAACCAAAGCCCCCCCAGCAGGAACGTGGTCCTGAGGACTGGCTCCCACGTCTCATGGGAGAGACCATCTGCCTCCCAGGCCGCCTGCCTGGAAGAGTCGTGTGGGCCAAAGGCCGGGCCCCAGCTGAGCTGTGGATGTGGGAGCGCTGAGCTTGTATCCGCAAGGAGCGTTCATGTGAAAATGCACCAGCTCATCTGTGTTAACATCTCGATTCGATGGCAGAATGTGCAGAAGATAAATCCAAAAAGGGTTTTTGATTCAGTTCGTTATACAATTAAAATGAAGTTATATTTAGAGGGAAAGGAGACATTTTAAAGGAACTTAAAAACAGAATATGCTAAGTGGTGTGTGTTTGCTTTATGATATTGAAAGTATCGAAGGTCAGGGCTTTCCACACTGACAGTCCTTCATCTGAAAATGCACGTAATTGCGTGTTCCTTGCAGGTTTTTTATGATGGTTCAACGAGATAATATGCTTACAAAGGCTAGGCATTCAGAGATGACAGTTCGCAGCAGCAGCCGTGGCAACCCCACCATCACAACGAGCTCCTCATTGGGTTGGCCCCCTGGAAACAAGGGAAGGCCCACTTCTTCCCTGCAATGAGGAGGGTTCTCTCTTCACCCCAACCCTGCTTCAGGCAGCGGTGGGAGCTTTTTAAAGATTTGGTAACCCCTAGCCTCTCAGGCAGAATGCGTGGGACAGAGGGCTGGGGACACCGAACAGGAGGCGGGAAGCCTGGCTTTTGGCCGCGCTTTGCCACTCGCTGGCGTTGTGATTTTGGACAAGTCACCAGCTCTGTGGAAAGCAGCCCTCTTTGCTGTGAAAGAGGAGACTCAAATAAATTATCTCTAAAGGTCCTTTTTAAGTTTAAAATTCTGAGACTCTCTAATGAGCCAGAAACCTTGTGGAATTCCAACTGAGAGTTGGGATCAGCTTCCTCCTCCCTCAGAATGAGACTTCAACAAAATTTGTCTTCTGAGCTCCCAGTTCACTGTTCTGTATCTCATTCAGAGCTCTTCTTCCCAAGCCCCGCCCCCCAGGGTGCCACGCCCTTTCAGTTCAGCCACACCTGTCCAAGCGGACTCCCTCCCCAACACCTGGCATTTCTACCCCTCTGGCATCTGAGAGAGTGCGGAATCCTAACCACTAGACCACCAGGAAAATGATACCCCTCTGGCGTCTGGATTTTTGCAATACCTGAGGGACATTGAGAACTTTGCATCACCTTTTAAATTACCCAGCTCTATCATGTTTCATTATGCCTAGAAAAGCAGACCCTACTCTCACTGATTGTAATTGTCTCATTAGGGCGTTCTCATGGGGACAGGATTTCTAATATTCCCATGCCCCTCCCCCACAACTTGGCCACCTCCCGATTATACATGGTTATGGTTTTTGAGAAGCTGTGCTTTAAAGAGCTTAATCTCTCTGTATCACTATAGTAAATGTGCTCTCTCTGCATTGTCTTTTTTTTTTTTTTTCAGTATTTTCACGTTCCAGACAGTGCTCCTTTCAGCATTTGCCCGGGCAGCGAGCGGCCTCCTGTGAAATCCAGCTCCCTTCCTTGCTGGGACTTAGTGCCTGACATCAGTCAGTCAGCACTGGATGCATCTCTGCTTCAGAAACAGATCTCACTGGCCTTTTCTCCGGCCGGTGGTGCCGACAGCTCCCACTGCTGGAGCCTGCCAGCTATAGTTCAACCAGAGTTTCCCCGACAGAGTGTGGCAGTACCCTTCGGGAACTGTAGGGAGAGTGGACTCTGTACCAGGTATTTTACATATACGTGAATGCCTTTCTGTGCTGGTCACTATAGCTGTTCATGAAGGTGCCAAGAGAGAAGGAAGAGTTGCCATGCTCACCATATGTAAAGCTAGGTTTTCTATTTTTAATGGCTTCTAGACATTGTCTGTAATAAGGCAAATGTTATGATCATGTGTGGGTTGCCCCCGTCTACTACTGATGAGATTTTTCCCTTATGCAGCTTATCCTGGGAGGAAATCGTGGTGTTTGTACTATAGAATGATAGCAGTACATCATAATGAAAAGATTGCCGTCTTTTATGACTTCTTAGCCTCTGTCAAAGACTGAGAAATAAGGGTTAAAATATGACAGTCAAGTTGGAAAATCATTTTCTTTTCCCATATTTTACTTTTACTTCAAAATAGAATTTGTCTCAAGAAGGCATTAAGAGAGATAACTTAGATAAACACAAGTCACAGAAGACCCTGTTCTGTGGTTGTTCTTGCACGAAAGTTACTCCAATTACCGATTACCAGTTATGCAAATAACAACCACAGAATCAAGCCAGAGACATGTAATGGTTTGTTCATACTGGACTTTTATTTTGTGGTTCTTTTGCATGCACCATGTCCTCTCTGTAGCTGTCAGGAATAACTTATTTATGGTATCTGTAAAAAGTACAAAAGAAAACATATTGTGACCTTATGAGAGGTACCTTATTCTTGTGATTATGAATTTATAGACTGAGATTTTAGCCTTTCTAACTTTGTGATGTATACAGAGATTTCTAGTAGTAATATTTTAAAAGAGAACTTCCTAACTCATATTACCCATAATAGTAAGGCCCTGTTCCCTACATACACCCCTTCTTCCTTCATGACATTCACAAACATCCCTGATTTTATAAACACTTTTCATCTCCAACTTTGGAGAGGAGTGGTTATTCTGGTTGGAGAAGTTAAGTGTGATGAGTTTAGGGAAGTATTTTTTGAAAGTGACATGAACCCATGTCTAAAATACAAAACTTGTTTTTAAAACTGAAAGACAAACTTGTAAATTTTTATTTGGCAAGTGTTTAAAATTCTAAGAATTATAAGATATGATTTCATTAAAATAACAATCTTATCCTTAAATATTAAGCTAGATATTAGATTAAAAGTACACATCTGTTAGTTCTGGCCCCCAGCTTTCTTGGCTATCAGAAAAAAACTTCTCTGAGGTTGGCTTGCCCCGCTCTTTTAAAATTAGGCTACAAAAAGAACTTGGGTGTTACTCTAAGAGCTGTACTCTGAAAGTGAATTCATTTCCTGCTGCCCCATCTCCTCCTCTCTCTCGTCCCCTCAGTCCAACAGTACACATTTGGTGGTGTTATTAATATGATTTCCCCAAGTGCTAATGGACAATTCACTTTGGCATTTCAGACAAATACAGTCTTCAGGAAGGACTCACACTGGTGAACATGATAAATGGCAAATGGGAAATTCTTTAGTGCATTCTTAGTGCCTTTTAAAAATTAGCATAAATTGAAGGCTGCATTTGGCAAATATCTAATTTCTTTGATTAATTTGATTAATTTGAAACATCAATCTGTGTAATTTAAACTTCAGAGAGAATGTTTTTCCTGCTTTGATATGAAATATTGTTTGGTAGTCTACAGATCTAAATCGGAACATTTCTCTCGCTCCATGGAGGGCAGCCTGTGCCCACACAGCAGTCCTTCTAATGCCAAATAATACACCTTTGCTGTTGGTAGTCAAAATGGAGTTCCTATAAAGTATGATGATTGTGAAAATGAAAAACAAACATTATGAGCCTACCTACCTTAAAGAGAGAAAGAGAGAGAGAGAGAGAGAGAGAGAGAGAGAGAGTGCGAGAGCGCCAGTACCCAAATTCTCTAGTAGTCCTTCTAAAAGCACATCAGTGCCTCCTTTGCCAAAATTTACCAGGCACTCTTGAGGAAGAAGGCGCCCTATCTGAAGATTTTAAGGCACATATATGCATTAAAAGAAACAGCAGGAGGAAAGATTAGCACAAGGTTAGCTGCAATTCTCTCCGGGTGGTAGAAGTTATGGTTTTTTTCTTTTAAATAATTTTTCACATTTTAAAAATATTATATGATAAATATATATTAATGTTTTCGGGAAAAACAATCAGTAAACCTGTAATTAGTATATGGCAGTTAATAGATGAAAGGATGGCCTCCTTTCTCTGGAAAACATTTCCTCTGATTTTAAGAGAAGGTGTTATAGAGCTCTGAATATTGCAAATTTAAATAAACTGTACCAGGAGGGAAAGCAGTCATTTCTTTCTAACCCATTTCTGTCATTTGATTTGATTCCATTTTAGGGCAATTGCACTGACATATCAAGAACACTTTGGAGTGACTTACTTAACCCTCTCAGAAGACCCTAGTCCTCGAATAATTTTCCACAACAGATGTCCAGTGACAATACTTATAAAGGAAAATATTAAAGGTAGATTGAATAGCATCAATTTTAAATAATACAAAACCTATATTTTTTCTCTGGAGGCGTTTGACTTAGTATTAATAGTTATCTGTGATCCTGGGAAGAATGTTTAAATAAAAGTATTATTCATTCCTTTCTGAGTTTTTCCTGCCACGCTGTTTAATACATATCTTTGTCTGCATATGCATTTTGTTTTTTTTGTTTTTTATAGATATTCCGAAGTTTGAGGTTTATTGCAGAAGAATTCCTTCTGAGCGCTCAATTCATCATGAGCTATATCATCAGATTTCCAGTTATCCAGACTGCAAGACCAAAGACTTACTTCCTAGCCTCCTTTTGAAAATAGAATTGCTGGGTGAAATAACGACTGAGTGGAGCGATGCCATTGACATCAACAGCCAGGGAACACAGGTCAGTGAGCCGCATGTGTCCCTGCCAAGGCCCAAAGGAAAATTCCCTTTTCCCAGGTCGATGGTTGTCTATTTTTAAGCATAGTTTTCTAAATGCCGAACTTCCTGTGTCTGTGTGAGTGGGTGTTTATCTGTTTTTATATCCTCGTTATGTTATAAATTCTCAAGTACAGGCATGTATCTACAAAGTGTACTATACTGTTTACCAGAGAGGAGCTCTTAGTAAAAGCAAGTCCACCTTGGGTCTAATACAAGGTCAGAAATGACATACAATTGTTGGACTTCTCTACATAGAAGCTAGTCCAACGGGCCAGAGATTAGCACAATCATAATGCCAACCCTAGATTAATTCCCTCTTTTGAAAGTTTACTAATTTTAAAATATACGGGTTTGTCCTAGTTGTACATAAAATTCTGCAAATGTAAGTACACTTTTAAAAGCCTGACCAGATAAAATGTCCTGCTTTGTCTCTGTCTTACTCTGGATGTTGGTAATATTATTTTTGTTGAAAATGGCATATGAACCTAGCATTTTGTTTATGCTGTACTTAAGAATTACCATTTTAAATATATAATTCAGTGGCATTAAATACATTTACCATGTTGTACAGCCGTCACCACTATTTCATCACCCCAAACCAAAACTATGTACCCATTAAGCAGTAACTCCCCATTCTCCCCTGCACTCAACCCCCGGTAGCCTGTGTTGCATTTTCTGCCTCTGAATTTGCATATTCTAGGCACCTCATATGAGTGGAATCAAACAATATTTGCCCTTTTGTGTCTGGCACTTACAGTAATAATAGTAATTGTCATTTAATAATCATTAACTGTATGCCAGGCATTGCGCTAAGCACTTCACATTTGATCTTATCAAACCTTTACAAGATAGGACTGTCATCTCCATGTGACAGAAGTGAACACTGAGACCTTCAGAAGTAACTCGGCCTGGTTCCCACGTGCTGTAAGGGAAGGGCCTGGGCTTTGATCCGGACCTGCCTGAGTCCAGAGCGTGTGCTCTTAGCCACTATGTTATGAATGCTGCATCCTTACCTGGGACTCCTCTCTTCTTCCCCAGTTCTCCTGGAACATTCTTTCTCATCTCCCAAGAGATTCTCTCTCTTCACACCTGTGACCTCTTCTCCCCAACCCCAGGACCCTCTATGCTCATCGAACATTTGTGACATTTATAACTTTAAATAATTTCTTGCTAAGTCAAGAATCCTGACAGTCAGATTCCTGCCTTGTTCATCCTCAGCCTACAGCAAGTACCTGTCAGCACAGTAAGATCTTAATAAATATCAAATGAATAAGTGAATGAATGAATGAGAAGATTAGGTTACCAAGAAAGATTATGTAAAGGAGAAAAAAAGGTTCCCAGGCCTAACCTTGGGAGACTCCACGTGTAAGTTTAGTGCAGCAAAGGACGCTGAGAAGGAAGTAGCAGAGGAGCAAGAGAACCTGGGCAGCGGAGCCACAGGAAAGCTCCCTGATGGGAACGTTTACAGGGAAAGAGGGAAGTAAGACAGCAATTAAATTCCAAGTTCAGAGTGAATGCAAGAGAGGGACTGGAGGAACAAGTGAAGATTGTTCTTTTAAGGAACGTGCCCATGAAGCAAATGAGATCAGTGGGAGGAAGCTCTCTTTCTATGCTGTAGGAGAGGAATCAGTCAGTCAAGGAGAAGTGGAAAACATGAGCTAGGGGTTTCCCAGAGAGACAAGCCCAAGGCCCAGGAAGTGTAATTCTACTTGAACAGAAGGGCCATGTCCTCCTGTCTGACAGTGGAAAAGAGGTTGGGATGGGCACAGGTGTAGGCAGAGATATTTGGAGGGATGGGGCTCGGACAATGGAGTGAATTGACAGTGGCCTTAAGTTTATTGTAAAGTGTGAAACGAATCATCTGTGAGAGAGAGATGGAAAGGGGTCGAGGCCTGGGGAGAGCAGTAGCTGTGGAAACAGCTGCAGGACATGGCCAGGGACAGTTGCAAGAGTGGCTGAGCAGCCTGGAGGGCACACTCACCATGGAGACCTGCGTTTGCAGTGGCCCCAAAACACCCAGAGGTGTGAGTGCTCGTTTGACGAACAATGAAAATCTGCTGAATCTGTACAGCCTCCGGGAGACATTCCTGGTCTCATTAATTTACAAAATAAATACTGCAACTTACTAAGTGTCCCTGAATTCCCCTGCATCAGTTTGAAGATTTTTTGACACCTTGCTTATATATGTCTAGGGACTTCTTTACAATAGGCATTCTGCCTGCCAAACCTTATTTCGGGGATTCCCATTCACTCTAAATTTCCTCAAACCTTTGTAGTCAGGGATACTTCAAAGCTAAGAAGAGGTACCCTCTCCCACCCGCACCCTTATCATCCCTGGTCTGAGGACCCAGCAAAGTGTCATGTTCCCATTAATCTTGGCAGAGCTGTGTGCCATATGTCCTGCAGACCATGGTCTACTTCCTATTCTGCAGGAAGATTTGTTTCAGACCCTCACCGACATCTCCTCAATAATACACCAGGGAATATAAATCACTGGGGAGTGAAGGGCACTGTGTTCTCTGATGAAAGGAAGCAGCTCTTATGTAGGAGTGAGTTTGTCTTCCAGGAGCCTTTCTTCAGCCCTGGTTCTCAGTCACATGATGTGAATTTCAAAACTAATCTAAAAAAAACAATTAAAACACCATAAAATCCCTATTATGCCACCAGGAAGAAAGCTCCTTTAGTTTTTGTCAGTCATACAGATGCCCCTGCCTTGGTTTTGTAAATAGGACAGCATCATGTTGTCTAATTTTGAAATGGAATATGGAAGGGAATATGCAGAAAATAACTTTATAATCAAACAAAGTATTCTTTGCATCAAGAGTTATCGGGAAGATGTGATAGCATGTAGGCCGCAGAATTCTGATTGTGAGGTTGGTGTGGGTTTTCTGGGGTTGTATCCCTGACTCATGCCTGGTTAGAAGACATCTCAGCCAGAGTCCTGGAAGTGGCAACTGGTGCTCTTCTCCATAATGTGACAGTGGGTGCTAGCCTGACTTTAGGGGGGAAAAAATCTTTAGATTCTCAATAAATAAGTAAAGGCATAAAAAATAAGTTTACCTTGATAATTTTGCATAATTCTGTTGCTATCAGGGAAATAGTTTAGAATATCCTATCATAGTGTGTGGTATTTCAATTTCTAATAGAAACCTTATGCAACATTCTTTTGAAAAATTCAACACAAAAATGTACAAAGAAAACGTAGTAACCATTTTAACTAAGACAAACATTATGAAGCATGATTTAGTCATTCAATCAACAAATACTGATTTCCAATATACGCTGGACATTATAACTTGGTGCTGGGACTACATAACATATAGTGAACAAAAATGGAATCCAGCACCTGCCCTCGAGAAGCTTACCTGTGGAGAAGATAGATAATAAGCAAGAATCACATAATGTATATGAGTCAGAGCTATGAAGGAAAGGTGCAGTTGTGCCATTAGCGGATACAGCAGACTAGCATGAGAGGCCAAGGAATGCATGTCTGGGAAAGAGACCTGCATCTGTCTCTTCAAGGAAGAACGGGCATTAAGTAGACAAGAGCGCGGGAGATGTTCCTGGACACAAAGAGAACATTTGAAGCTTTGGGGCTGAGAGAGTGAACGTGGTCCTTTCAGGGGTCTGAATGCCAGGGCGGCCGCAGTGCACGATTAAGGAATTCAGGGCCAAAATGGGCAAGGTCCTGTATCTCCAGTCGAGGATTTGGTTTTTATCATAAGAGCCATGGGCAGTCATTGGTCTGTTTGTGAAAAGCAGTTTCTGAGCCATTGAAATAGCAGAGAAGAATGAGCAGTTTGACCCCCTAAAAGCAGATTAAAATGATCCCTTTACAGGTGACTTCTCATCTAAAAAGCTCCAGTAAATGCTCATGATCTTGGACTTGTAGAAGTGTGTAGTGGGGTCAGTGTCCTTGCCATTTTCTCCTCACATCGTGTGTGGGTGTGGGGGAGGGCGAAATAACAGTCCTGCATGTTTATATAGCTCTGTACCATTTACAAAGTGCCTTCCCATCCACAGTCTCCATTCTTTCACTCATTTATTCCACAAGATTTTATTGAGGACCTACCAGGGGCCAAACCTTTTGCCCTGAATAAGGCATAATTCCTGCCTTCAAGGACCTGAGTAACTAAATTAATGCAGTCAAGTGTTTTAAGTCCTAAGATAGCCTTTGTATCACCACAAAAATTCTAGGATAGAGCAGTAATTTTTATGGGTTGGGGGGAGGGGGGTGTTCCTTGTTTTTTGCTTTTTACTGATGAGACGGTTCAGCTAGGTAGTTTATAACTAACTAAGCAGGATCAGGCTGGAACCTAGACCTGCTCACATGTGGGTCCGTCTTGTTTTTCCTACACCAAGCTCAGATCGCTGTCTGCCCTTTGGAGTCCTGCCCTGGCTACAGATATTGCTACCTGAAAGCTCACGAAGGCACAGGCTAGAAGAGGTTTTCTAATTTTCCCCTTTTAGTGCGTGCAAGAGTCCCTTCCATGACCTCATATCTCAGAAAACTCCCAGAGTCATAAGCATGGCTTATTCCAGCAGTGACTGTAAGAACGTGTCTGCTTGTATCAGGCTGAAAACTGTCCCTCTTAGCATCCAGTCATTCATCCTTGTTTTGCCCCCTGGGGCATCGCAGATTATTTACTTCCCCTTTAACAGCAACACTACAATTATTTGAAGGCAGCTTTGACATCTTCTCTAAATGTTCCCTTATCCGGGCCAAACATTTCTGGTTCCTTGAATCATTCCTTCAGTAAATGTGATTTCCAGACCCATCACCACAGTTACCCTTGTCTGGACACACTAGTGTGTTATGTTCCCTTTTAAAAATCTGGCAGCTGGTATTACACACAGTATTCCAAGTGTGGTCTAACCAGCTATTACCTCCCTATGCTTCCATTAATAAAGTAGAAGATTGAGTTAGCTTTTTATTAACGAGCCCAGACTGTTTATTATTAT